TAACAAGTTAGAATCAAATTGGGAATATGGAGAACATATTTGAGGGAGATATCCTTGCTAAGGTTCACCTCCCCCTTTCTAGAAATGGTAGTGAGGGAACCATTTATTACTCTCACCTTGTCTTGTCTAGATAAAAGTTCATAAGTAGTGAACAATGAGAACTAATATGTCATGTGATCAATAACACCTAAATCAATGAACCAAGAGTGAGTTTGAAGAGAACTACAAACACTATGAATGAAAGTTGTACCTAACTTGGCAAAGAGGAAGAAAGAGGAGCTTTCCTCAATTGAATCATTGCTAGACTAAGGATTTCTATTTCACCAATAGTAAAATCTAGGAAGTTCCTTGTACTAACAGAATTAGTGGTGTCCCATTGGAAAAGTAGTAGCCATAGGTGTGGGATTCTGAACTCTCTTGGCAATATTAGAAGTTGCAACATTTCCTCCTGACAGTTGTCCCTTCTGAGGCTTACCCTTTCTCAATGCAGTTGGTTTTAGATGAGGATAAAGCATCCAACAAGTATCCTTAGTGTGTTTCTTTATCCCATAATGAGAGCACTTCTTGTCACCATTCTTTCCTCTTCTAGGTGTTGAGGAAACCAAGGTTGAATGCTCAAGGGGCTAAGATTGACTCTCAAGCTGCATCTCCCTTCTCATCTCTTCATTTTTGACAAGGTAGTAAACCTATTGTAAATCTAGTTGCTCATCTCGTCCCAATATCTTTAATCAAATGTTCTCATACATAAGGTCTAAACCTGCCAAGAACTTGAAGGTTCTTCCCTTCTCAACCTGCTTATCATACTTTTCTTTGTCACTAATTCTGTCCCAATCTATAGTAAGGTGATGATGAAATTCCCCCCATAACCCTTCTAGAGTAGAAAAATAAGTAGCAACAGTCATCTCCCCTTGATTCAATGTTGTAATATCTTGAATCAATCTATAGATCCTAGCATTATTTTTGCATTGTCCATAGGTTCTTGAATTTTTTTCCCAAATCTTAAATGCAATGGGGAAATGTTGGTCTGTCCTAGTCACTCTTATAGTCATAGAGGCAAGTAACGACGACATAACTGTTGCATTTTCTATACACCATGTAATTCAGCATCTTCTTCCTAGGGTTGCTTCACTTTCCATTAATGTACCCCATTAATCCCCTGGAATAAAAAAATAAGTTCGTTGAAATCAACTATTCCCTAAAGTTGTATTCATCTAACATCACCTCGCTAATTTGTAGACTATGTAGGTTGCAATTCTCACGGTTAGAACCTTTCCTAATTGGTCTAGTGTCCTTGGAAGACACTTCTCCTAAAACTGAAAACATCTTTCAATTTCTACCAACAAACAGCTGCTACTACTTTGAAAAATACTAAAATGTTAAGGATGGAAGCACAACATCAAATCTGAACCTGAACCTCTTCTAAACTATTCTACAATTGTCACCATTGTCCACGCTATCAAAAAATCTACTAGCAAACCCCTAATACAACATTCAGCTACTGGGAAGACTATCAACACAAACAACCAAGCTACAGTTGTGGTTCTCCTTCATTCAGGGCTATAACAAGGGTTCCTCTAATCTGTCCATCTTATAGTTCTGAGATTGGCTACTAGTGTTCCTCTTGCCCTAATAGGGCATCCATTGAGGCTAGGGAACTTCTCTTGGTCTCAGGAAGCCCTAGAGTAGAGTTCTAGAAGGTACAAACAGTCCTAGGTTTTGTTTTAGGACTTGGGAGAAAAAAAAAAAAAAAGTAGAATGAGAGAAGAATGTAGGTTGGACCAGGAAAAAAGCAAACTTTAGAGGTCCGATACCTTGTTTTTTCAGACCTCTGCAAGGGTTTGAGAGTGGTTTCGAGAAGAAAGACAAGAGAATGAGAAGAATGGGCAGCCAGCAAAAGACGTCTTACCGGGCCCTAAATCTTTTATTAGATTACAACTTAAGAAAAAACAAGAAAGGACAGAAGTACCCTTGTCTAGTGATGTTCTTAACAAAAATTTGGGGAAAATTCCACTTTAATACCCTGAATTTTGAGGGTAGTGTCAAGTTAGTATCTAAATTTTCAAATGTCAGTGCAGTATCCAAACTTTCAAAAAACTGCCAATTCAATCCCTATCATTAATAGTCCACCAGTTATCTTATCACGTGATGCCATGTGCAATTTAAACTTTTTCAAAATGTCAAAACTACCCTTAAAAACAAAACATTGTTTATTGTCTTGTACCTTTAAGACTGAACCATGATAACAATGAGCCACAGTTGAATTGACTTGATGGGAAAACAAAAGATGTGAATTGATGAATTCAAACATATAAACACTTGACCCAAGAACACGTCTTTATTGAAGTGAACCTATAAACACGAGTGCACCTACCATTGATTGTTTTTGGGGATAAGTGGATTGCAATCCACTTCAAGAAATCTGAATTGCAGCCCTCTCCTAATCTACTGGTAGCCCCCATAAACCGCATACTGCCTGAATTTAGAACCAATCCATGGGCAAGATTCAGTCAACCCCTAAAAATCTTGGCTCCACCTTTGGGCTGGACTGAATTATAAAAACCCCTTGTTTTCTCTCTTTCTTGCATGGCGATGGCGATTTGGACAAGGAGAACCGTCCATCCTCGGCACTGCCCGTGAGAATCTCACACTTCAACGCTTCTCTTGTAGAGGAACTAAGCGTGATCCGGAAGAGGCTGGAACAAAGAGAGTGAATAAGGAGAAGACCAGAGAAAAAGTTGAGGGAGAGGGATATGATGCTGGATTTGCGGATGCAGAAGCTGGAGAAGAGATGGGAAACACAGAAGAAACTTGAGAACATGATGGAGAAACTGTAGTTGTTCAAGGAATTCCCATCTCGTTGCATGGTGAGCAAAATCCAATATCGATCAGCAATTGTGTTATGATTTTGTTATTTCCAAGTCTGAGCTAATAAAAGCTTTTTCATCTTTACCAGTAGAGAGTCCTTCATGTTCAATCGCTCAGGGAAAAGGAAAGAGAAAAGAATACAGAAGAAGCCCAGTTGCAGGCAAAGGGGCAGAAAAGAAGAAGCCCAGAAGAAGCGAGGAGAAGAAAACCGTGGGCAGAAACACAGAGTCTCAAAATGACGAAGTGACAGAAAAGAAGCTGATTGGATGAGAAAGAAAACGAAAGGGGCAAAATCTATATTTGCAAAAACAACAAACATAAAGGCTGCATTTTTATTTCCAAATTTGTTCTTCAGCTTTGCAGCAGTTAACCGATGGGTTCTAGGATTCACAGTTAAATTCATATTTCATGAATTAATATTTGCTAGTATTCAATTCAATCGCATTGATACTATTTAATGTCAATTCGTCAGTTCGAGTTATACATTTACAAATTACAAGTTTAATATCGCTCGCCCCCCATTGCTGCTGATTTTGTCAAGATTGCATGAGGCAACAGCCAACAGGGGCTCGGCTTACAAAAATCGAGAACATCTGCTGACACTCTGTTGTGCCCCCAATAAAATACGGACACATCAGCAATGAGCAATTGTTTCACCATGCAAGAAGAGAGAAAAAAACAATTAATTAAACCAAACTCAGATATAGATTTCTTTATGCCGGTAAAAAAATGATAAAAACATAACATGCAACAATACGAGGCCGGATCTCTTGCCTACAAAAACTCTGCCCACATTTATTGCAATCATACATGGAGGACATCTCATCCTCTGCATAGTATTATGTAGGGGGAGATGTTCCCAATTCACGAGGGTAGTATATTGTGGGTAGGCGTGGACAGAGTTCTCGAGGGTAGGAGATCCTGCTCCAAAGATATGGCTGCTTTAGCTCGCTTCAACAAAGACGTGTTCATGTCTCAAATGTTGGTGGGTCTGACCATATGTGCACCGGTGTTCATGGGTTTGAATTCATCAATTCACGTCTTTTGTTCTATCATCAATTCAATCCAACTGTATCTCATTGTTATTATGGAGTCTTAAGGTAGAAGGCAATGAACAATGTTCTGTTTTTAAGGGTAGTTTTAACATTTTGAAAAATTTTAAGTTTCACATATCATCACGTGATAACATAACTAATGGACTGTTAACCGTAGGGACTAAATTGACAGTTTTTTAAGGTTTGGAACTGTAGTGACACATTTGAAAGTTCAGGTACTAACTTGACAGTTGATGCTACCCCCCAAAGTTCAGGGTACTAAAGTGGATTTTTACCAAAAACTTAAAAACACTATTGGGCCTAAAGCCCAACAACATCACTAATGACTAAACACTAATAACAGTTATGGACAGATAGATCCATAGGACCACACTAATAAAGATCATGCAACATATTAATGATGTCACAGTTCCATAGGACCACACATGTAGATCAACCATTATAACAGTGGAGAAACTAAAATTTGAAGTCCTTTGGATTCAGCTTGGAAAGAGTACAAATACAAATATGTACAGGATTGCAGAAGTCCTTTGATCTTCCCCTCGGTATGAAATCCATAAGTAATCTTAATTTGTGGTTGCAGAAGTGACTTATAGCCCGTTGGAATTTCAAGGAACCCTTGGCACTCTTAGCAAATAACACCACAAATACCCAAGCCTCGAAATCCACTCATATGACTCGTATGTTTGCAATTTGTTCCCAAGATGATTTGGAATTAATGTCCAAGCTAACTTCCAGGATTTTAAGCCACCACGAAACTATGTTTGCAATTTGTTTCTTCCAAAAGCTGATAGAGAGATTGGTCAAGGAGATTCCAATTTTGAGAAGCATATTGGCATTTCAAGAAAAGTCCATGCTTTTCTCGATCAGTTTTTTCATAGAGGGAAGCTTATCCCAATTAGAAGCCATACAAAGACTTTTATTTTCTCAGGGCATTGGATGCTTCAAGCCCATTTGGCTTTAGCCAAGAAAATTTGGGTCTGTAGAGATCATCTCTTGGTGATTATAAGCTGATTTGATCCCCTAAAAACTATATCATTCCGATAAAGAAAACAATGAAATAAGCAAGTATAAAGAAAATCCAACCAACTGGACGACCAAAATAAATTTCAATTAAAATATTAGCAAATGTTGTGGTTGGGTGAACCAAATGAGCATTCCCACTTTGAAACCTAGGTTCTGTTTGTATATGATATTTACTGTCAACTTTTCCATAATAAAAAGAAAATGATTTTTGTTTTCTTAGTCCATTAAGTCTAGATGTGTATTGGTTCAGCTTTGGGTGCAGACAAGAAAATGAGCAGGAAAATCTCCCGTGTAAGATGTGCACTTGCTATCCTTTTCACTATAGCATATTACATTGAAGAACGACAGCCAGTGTCTCTAACTTTCTTTCAAGAGCTGCTGCTACCACTTGGAGTGTATTGTTCCATGAGTCCAGTTAATGCAGCTTCAAATTCCCTCTCTACCTCAACCTCTTCTTCAAGATGCTTCCTCTTCATCTCAGCCTTCTTATCTTCATGCGCTTTTATTAGTTTCTCTCTTTCTGCTTCAAATTTCTCAATTCCTGCTTCCTGGGATTGGATAAATCTTGCTATCTCCGCATTCCTGCAATACAAACCCCAAACATCAAGGGCAAAATGATTATGTTTGAGATAAACACGCATATCACTATTATTATATGAAACATCCAACCCATTCTTTAGTGCACAACCTGAATCTGCATCAGGATCCAACCTGGACGGTTAATACTTGATGGAGACGAGATGAAACCATTTCGCAAAAAGTTTTACATGACCTTACAAAATGATTATGTTTGAGATAAACACGCATATCACTATTATTATATGAAACATCCAACCCATTCTTTAGTGCACAACCTGAATCTGCATCAGGATCCAACCTGGACGGTTATTACTTGATGGAGACGAGATGAAACCATTTCGCAAAAAGTTATACATGACCTTACAAAAGATTGTCAAAATATCATCACCGGATTGCTACAAATGACGAGTTAGGTTAGCCGTTAGCCCTCTATTAGGCTGATGGTACATGGATCTCTTGGATATGAACCACAATGATTGATCCACATTCAGCAAGTGCAACCTCAAAGAGTGTTGGTAAACAATAAACAATTCCAGACAGAGATATTTTAGAAACCCGGACATCATATATGCAATTGCATTAGGAGTTGACAATGGTTAGAGGTGCACTGTGCCAAAGTTCCTAGATGTCACAACTCACAACTAATTCAGTCAGTCGTAAATACCGACTCTATGACACTAAAAAAAGTAGGGAAAAAATCATGCATGGTAGGTAAACAATCAACAAATAGATGATTTGGCATATCCATCACCATCAGATTAGCTTTATGAAAAACACGAAGCAGAGCTCAAGATCTAGGAACACCTTATTGGTATTGGCGGTCTGAAGTTCGACTGATAACATAATGCAAATTATAACTCAGTCCCAAAGCCAGTGTTCTAGCCCGCCCCTACAAGCAGGCCCTGCAACCTACCTGATACAAAACCTCAAGTATCCCCATTCCTATCAAATAGTGTCCCCATGCTCCCAAATTATATTATATCATTTAAGGAATAAGCTCCTCTCCACATACAAGAATTTCAAATAAAAATTACGGGATATTTTATTACCTGCGCACATTCTACCTGATATGATACCTCAACCATAGGAATTCAGTTTCCAAATTTCGACTAGGATGGGAAAGTAACATTTACCTCAGCTTCTGCTCCTCTTTGTTCCTGAAATTCTGATTTGATTGCTTGAATTTTTCCCTTTCTGCCTGTAGCAGTTGCTCAAAATTTTTTTCTTTTTCCTCTAGAGCTTGATGAATAATGCTGATCTGATCCTCAAAGAATTGCCTTTGGAAGTTCATCTAGAAAACAATGTTTACATAATCAACAAAGAATCAAAATCTCTCTTTCTAGTGGAAACAGAAAGAGTTGTCATCAGACTGGGAAGATATGAGGCAGAGGCAGCATGAAGGAACCAATATAAAATCCAGAAACTCTGGACATCATAAATGCTAAAATTCACAATTAACAACAATGAAATGAAAATAATCACAAATCCAGAGGAATAAAATACTGGAGAATGCAAAGAGAAAAGCACAAGCATGTTTAACCATAAACACAACCAAAAACAAAAGGGAATGTATTAAGTTAGAAATTATTTGAATGCTCATAATTTCACAAGGGATATACCATTGAACAGAATAAATGGCAAAACAAGATTAATATAGCCAACTCCACATGATGATGATGAGTGCCAAGAAAACCTACATAAAAGCACAAAATAATTCCTCAGTGCCAAGACATGACTTCCCAGTCAATAATCATTTGATGAGATCCCCACATGATCTCTTCTTTTCTGTTCCCCTCAAGATACACTGCCCTTGGGTCCTCCAGACGCCAATTTCTTCTTTTTTTTTTTCAGAAGAGGTATTTTCTCAATCTTCTATTGAGATTGAGATAATAAGGTGATACTATTTTCCACTTCTTCACTAGCATTGGCATCTAAGTTGATTCCACACCCCTAGATGATAGTAACTAGTGTTGTTGTGGATCGGGTCTGGTTCATGACAGAGTAGACATTGAACTGACCCAATGCATAAATGTGCTTAACCAGTATCAAACAAGACCCCATTGGGTTGATAATCCAGACTACCAGATCTGACAAAATAAGACCCAATTATAATTGACAGCTATAGTTTTAACCAAGGTAAACATTGTGAAATATGCAAAAATATAGAATGCTATTTTATAATACTACCTTTTATCATCTTTTATGTGATGATACTACCTTTTATAATACTACCTTTTATACTGAATGCTCTTTTATCATCTTTTATGTGATGATAAAAGATGCATAGGTAGACCGTTTTCAAGCTGTTCAAAATGGTAATCATATTCATTAGTTGGCAATAACAATGGTACTCCATATATTTAAAATACTGTAGCCAATTTATGTTATAATACTACCTCTTGTACCCCACATAGCATCATTGCATCAGTAGCTTTCATTGGGGAAAATGTCGATTCCAGTAATATTTCGTGTTGATAACCATATGGAAATATATCATGCAAATATTAGGAACTTGTGGACATTTTAAACCATCCTATTAAACCTATAATTTGACAATAAACCAACTTATTTGTTAAATTGACCCATTTAGATATCACAATGAATAATATTATTCAGTCACTTTATTTCTTAATCAGTTTAGAACAGACAAAATCAACCCCCAACACATCTTCCTCTAATGGGTAGAAGTATAACGTGGTGTTGCATCACCCTCCCAAAGAGGATAAAACACTTAATTCCTTACTTAGAACAACTTGTTTTTTTCTGATACAACAAAAGAGTTAAACAACAGAAAAGGAACCACCTAGAGCATCTATAAGGAGGATGCAATCCAAATCCCACAGGCAAGAGTTATTTGTGTTAATGGACTGATAATGACCTTCATTGGAAAGGGCAGTCAGCAGCTTGGTTTCCCTCTCTACCATGATAATCACTTATCCTGATGTTTGCTTCCTCTCCAATCTTTGCACATTCATTCTTGATGATGTGACATATCCATACAGCTTTGCTCGAACCTTTTAGTGCTTTGACCATGATGGAAGAATCTCCTTCAATCGTAACTGGGGATTGCTTTGTTTTGCCATTTTATGAGCTTGGAAGCTTGCCAGCATTTCCACCACCATTATCGAAGATTTACCAATCAAACCAGCAATAGTTTTGATAATTTCACCTTTATAATTTCTCAGAATGCACCCAAATGCAAAATCTTCATTTTCTTTCCTTGACACATCAAAATTTGTCTTAATTGTATATGGGTCTGGTGGGTTCACCCAAATGATTTTTTTCTTTGTTTGTTATGGTATTTCCTTGAGCTTCAATAGTCTCTAGAACTCTCCAATGCCTTTTTTATTATCTCTGGGGGCCTATATAATTTGTTATTGAATATCTTTTCATTTCCGTTCTTCCATAAATACCATAGATAGAATGTAACTGATTTTTTCCCATAAGCCTAGACTCTATCACTTCTGAATTTAATTAACTCTTATCCACCAGTCTAGGAGCAATTTGTTTAGTTCAAACTTTGGCCTTGGGAGTTGGCCCTCTAATAGAAACCAAGCTTGAGTTGCCAATTGACAGGGAAGAAAATATGATTAAGTTTCAAGATTGCCACGTATTTGACAATCTGGATCACAATTAAAACCCCCTGTATTAAGTTTTCTTTTGTTGGAAGCTTATTCCTTGATTTTTTGGGGGCTATTTCTTTGCTAAACATATTGTTTTATTTTGGTGAGACCCCAGTTTTTTTAATCTGGGTCGATGATATCCTCCACTTTTCTACCTTAAGTTCTATATCATTTTGACATGGAACCACATCTTTTAGGAGTACATTCATAACCCAATTATCATGCCAAAGGTCATGAGATTTACCATTCCCGATTCTCCAGGCTATACATTCTTTTTCAAATTCTCTCTTTGGTTACAGATACCTTTCCAAGTCCAAGAGATTTTTTTTTTTTGACTGGAAAAAACTCATTCCCTTCAAATATTTTGCTTTCACCATTTTAATCCATAGATTGTTATTTTCATCTTTTAGGATTTTCCATCCTTATTTTAAAATGTTTGCAGAATTTATATGGTCCATTTTCCTTGTACCCAAATCCACCATTGGATTTTAGCATGCAAACCTTATCCCATCTTTTTTTTATCAATGAACCTTATCCCATCTCTCAAGGCAGAAAAGCTTTTTATCTTTTTTATTACCCCAGAAGAACATTTTCTGAAGTTTTTCTAACTCTTTACTTGAAGACTTGGGAAATGGAACATCAACATTTGGTATTGGGTCATATTAGCAATAACATTTCAGCATTTTGACTCTACCACCCATTGAAAGAGCTTTGCTTCTCCATCCCTCTAACTTTTTTTTACTTTGGCAATACACTTACCAAAGGTTTGTTTTCCTACACTTTCATTTATTAGAGGGGCTCCGAAATATTTTCCTTCAAATTGTACTTTGGGATTTTTTTAAATTTTTCTAGCATTTTCTGTAACCTCCCAGGGAAGTTTTTTGAGACAAAGAGGGAAGATTTATGATAATATGGTAATTACCCAGAAGCTTTGGCATAATTGTCCAGGATTCCTTTGAGAAAATTAAGCAATGATCTATAAACTGAAGAATCGGAACAGTTGGAGCATTTCTCATTACCCTAATTCCAATATCTTTTTTTATGTCATCCATGAATTTCCACATGTTTTTTAATAGAGCTTCACAACAAAGAACGAAGATATAGGGGAATAGGGGGTCTCCTCGCCTAATCCCTCTTGTGAAGTTAAACTTTAGTCCTGGGGATCCATCGACTAAGATAGTGATAGATGACTGAAGTTATACTCTCTATTACCCAATCAGCCCATTCTGGTGCAGGCCCATTCTTTTAAGATATTTTCTATGTAATTCCATTCTAGCCTACCATAGGCTTTTTCCATGTCAATATTGTATGTCATATACCCTGTTTTTCCATTCTTATGCTTCATTGTATTAACTATTTCATTAGCAATTAAAACCTCAAAGCTCCCTTCTCTACGTGCACCCAAGGTTGAAAAGGTACACTCCTTTTTTTAATTTTTATTTCAAAATTTTACAGGAGGTCAAGTCTTAGTCATGCCTACCACTTGAAAAGTGACTCAACCTCCTCTTCCTCCTAAATACCTACGTCATTGTACTTCCTTGTTCAAACAAAGCAATCAGTCTGTTTTGGTTACTAGCATAGGGACAGCCCTCGATTCAAAACAAATCCAAAAAACAGGAAAGAAAACAAAAAGAAAGGCCTATCATGACTAAAAACCTTGGCTTGCGAAAAATAGGCTGTAATATTGCTAACTTGAGAAGAGAAGGAAATTACCAACCATGTGGCTAAAGGAGGTTCCTTCAAAAATCTTTCACTGATCTGTGTTATTGGCTAATGGCACCAAAACCATTTCCTGCTTACTCTCTTGAGGCTTCTTATCATCAATCACCCTTCCCTTACCTAATCCATATGTTTGTTTGCTAACATTAATTAAGGGTGACCATGGGTCTGGCTGGGGTTAGCACCTATAAAAAGGGCTATAGAGTAGAGGCCCAGGCCCTACTTGATCCACAACCTAGATTGGGCTTCAAGGCCTATATCTTCAAATATAATATTTCATATTATATGATATAATATATGTTATACTTCATATGTATAATACGCACATAGTGTGGACTGGGATGGGCTGAACTAGAAATGATTGCCCCTACTTAGCTCCTCACTTCCTCTATAATGGAGTACTATTTGTGAGGTTCTTTTATAAAGACTAAGAATATACCCATAGGGCTTGATAGCCTCAGCTAACACCAAAAAACAAAAAGACAAAAGCCCACAAAACAGCAATAAAGTTACATTACTTGAGCCCAATACAATCTATCTATCCATTGTGGCCCCTTATTATGGCCAACCCATCAGCCAGCCCATTAGTAGATCTTTGAATCCAAGATGCAACTGCTTCCACTTCACACATGATGATTCTTAACTCTCTTACATCATATCTATATTTCCAAGGAACCTTCTAGTTATCCCATATCCACCCAACTACTACTTTGGAGTCCCCTTCAATTTTCAAATTTCTAATATCCATGCCGTTGGCCTGTCTTATCCCATATAAGATTGACTACAGGTCTGCCTTAGTTGAGTCCCCAGACCCTATGGAACCGAAGAACAAATCCACAATGTTTCCTTATTCATTTCCAAACACCCCCTCCAATACCTGCCACTTCCAGTCCTGGGTTTCCCAAGCTACCCATCAATGTTCAACTAAATATTGCCTTGTGGCACGCCT